TGAGTGAAATTCAGCCAAATATAGAGTTCCAAATTTAAAATTAAATTAGTGAAATACTTGGAGCGTTTTCCGTTTAGTTGTTGTTGACTCGTTGTCGCAAGTTGGAACGTGAAATTTGTCTTTGGATCTTTGGCTGTGCGAACCGGCACTTTCTACAAAAATGTCAACAATAAAGAAACTGAAATGGAAGTGCCAAGTAAAGCATGAATCATCGAAAGGACGAACAATTAAATTATTAAATAATCTATGTTTATTCTGTAGCTCGGTAGTTATGATATCCTATTTCGCCAAGCGTTGGCATAAGGAAATATCCAATTACACTTATGATGTACATAATGTTCTTTAGTTTCACATATGTATAGCATGTAAACAGCATTTAATGAATATATATTCTAACAATCCTGTAATAACCGGCAGTTGTATCTTCAAGCTGAAATCCATGTCAATCGAAATAAAAATTGTTTTAGTGTGATTTTAACTGGCGCAATCGGTAGRATTTGCAAATTGATTAAAACTGGGTCTGAAAAGGTTTGGACTTGCACGAAAAAACCTGGGTCRATTATTTTGAAAGTTTGGTCTGAAAATGGGTAGTGTATGTCTGTGTATTTCYAAAGCYTGGAGAAAATGCATTTGGTTTCGGTAATTGATTTGSAATGTTTTTGGTTTTTGTAATAAATAAAWTTTTCTTCTTCTTAAGCGAAACTGGAGTCATAGCTTCGTCAAGGGTTTTTGGGTTTTTACTCCTTACCACTAGTTGCATGTGATAGCTTAAGCCACTAGTGAATGTTCTGAGAATAAGGTTTCTGTATTTTGATATTTTTTATAGCATGATCTCCAGAGTTTCATTACTCATATTGATTTTTGAAAATAGCAGACTGCGTACGTCTTGTAAATGCAAGCCAAATTCTTGGGCTGTTTCGTTTTTCGAAAGGTTTTTTTAACTATACAATCAATTGATCTTTGGTCTGCAAATGTGTCAATGATAGCTTGTTTAGCAAGTTTCCATGATTGAAGTTCAACACGAGAAGCTATTTAATCAGCGGTTCTGCCTGCTAATTTGCAAAGGATAGTGTCAAAAAGGCAAGAATTTATGTGTGCGTCCTCATTAGTTCTATCTCGATGTTTATTGAGAAAATTGTCTCAAGCTTTTATAAATCTGTTGAATTGCTTAACATTGCCGTCAAATGGGGGAATGTTATCTGCTTGATATTTGATTAGAGTAAAATTAGAGTGTGGCATTGTTTTTATTTTAATCTTAAATTAGAGCTTAAAATTATGTTTAGAAATATAACATATTTGCTTCTTTTGCAAACAAAAGCGGAAAAATTCGCAATATTTCAATTGTTCAAAAAATGGAAATTGGAAAAGTGGACTTACAATGATAAACGGATCAATGTTGTTTTCATTTCTTTTATTATTGTTTTCTTCTTTAGTTGCAAGGGTCCAATAGGAAGGGCGGTGCTTGTCTCCTCCCTGGCTAATCTATGAGAGGTTGGACGATGCTTGTTCCCTTCTTCTCCTACCAAAGTGGATCGGACGATGCTTGTTCCGCACGTTCTGGCCTTGAGTTGCCCTGTCGCTGCCAATCAATGAAATGTTCGAATTTGTCACAAATAGTTGAAACGACCTGAATCTATCACACCCGATGCGGGACCACCGTTTTGAAAATTCTTCCACGATGCTTACACGATGATCGTTTTTGATGCTCACACGACGACCGGTTCGAAGAATTTTTCACGACTCTTCGTTGACAAATCCTTCCGGATTTGATACACACGATCTTCGTTGACAATTCCTACCGACTGCACCATTAAAATTACTTTAGGGGGAAAAGTCATTTTTATTTCGATTGACATGGACTTCAGCTTCAAGATACAACTGCTGGTTAGTACAGGCTTGTTAGAATATCTATTCATTATTTAATGAATGATGTGTTTACATGCTATCTGTGAAACTAATGAACATCATGTACATCGTAAATGTAACTGGATATTTCCTTATGCTAAGTTGGCCAATTAGGATATCATTATCCGGTGTATTTTTTTCTCGAAAAAGTGTAGTGTTTGTAGTGTTTAGTTTGCTACCGACAGTGGATAAAATCGGTCGATAATCGCATTATTAGATGGAAAATATAGAACCATTGTGGCCCTTAAGGCAAGTTACGGTAGTTTGTGAGTAGAGTAGTGAAGTAGTAAGTAGAAATATAGTTAACTTCTTGATGATTAATGAGCAGAAAAAGGAGGATAGGGCGCCAGCTTGCAAAAAGCTGGTAAGAATGATCTCTAATCAATAAATCTTCTATGTTGAATTGAGTTTAGTTTTCCCACAAGCAACTGAAGTTTTCTGGATTCTTTATATTTCTCTTTCTTTGCTTCGCTGATTTCAAATAAGTTTGGTCTTGAACATATTTCCTGCTGTATTAAATACATTTTCATCTTTATTTCCAGGTGGCACTACGCGGCTTTCGGTTAGCTTAGCATTACATTTCCCCTGGTTGCCATGTAGATACATGTAGAACTTTTAGTCTCATATTTATCAAAGTAGTGTGTATTTGGTATGGATTGAGCTATTGGTTCTTTCGTAGTTAATTTTTAAACTTTGAGCAGCTTTATATTTTTTTATTGGCTTTTATATTAGGCTCTTATCAAGCTTTTCGCTAAAGAACCGCATCCGATATAGAATTTTGTGTTCCAGTATTATATAGTTCCAATATACAAGGAGGATCAGTTTACTAATAGTGCGGATTTAGTTAAGATTAAACAATGCACTCTCACAAAAAAATTTTAAACTTTGAGAATATTTTGGGCGGCTTTGTTTTTTACATCAAGCTCATTTTAAACTTGTTTCCGAAGAACAGTTTCAGATATGCAAATATGGGTTCCAGTTTTTGTTTTTTTTTGTTAAAAAAAGTGATGAGTTTTAGTTTTTTTTAAGTGCAAAATCGACTGAAGCATGATGCCACCTTTTCTGACGTTGCACAAGAACAATTTGAGTCACAGAGTTCGTTTTTATTGATTGAATAGAGAATTGGTAACTCGACTCGGTTATAATAACGTGCGTGAGTAAACTCTGGTGGATTTGTCACAAAAAGTCACACAAAATTTGAATATCAGACAATTAGTTGCAAAGTTGAACACAAATTTTCATAAAAAAAAAAACGTTTCCTACATAATGCCGATCTTTCAAGTTTCTACTGGCTCTACTTTGGACGTTCCAATTTTTTAATGAAGAGTATGCAGTTGCGGGAAAGCGTTAATTTTCAAATCAACATTCACGAAGCTTTGCGCTTCTCTGAACAATTAACTGAACGCACAACTCTGAACTTGTACAGTATTTTTCGTTTCGGAGAAATCTGTTTCCGAAAAACGCGATGAAAAACGTGTTTCCGCAACAGTTTTTTGTTAAATCTTAAGTAAAATTTCTATAACGATGAGTGAAGTTCGAAATTTTGACGGCATTTAGGGTGCATTCTTCTTTACTGAACGCACAACTCTGAACGTGTAGAGTATTTTTCGTTTCAGAGTTTTTCGTTAACTTACCGCGTATCACAAATATGTCAGCGTTAAATCGTATCTGTGGTTAGTTTTTAAATTACGCTCTTCAGAACTTCAAATGTATAACATGGTGCATAATATCAAGTTTTGCGAATCTCTAAATCAGATAAATGTTTGACAAAATCTACGAGTAGAACCACAGTTTTTATTAGGTAAGAGAATATACGAAATATTAACGGTATTGGTATAAATAGTCCATATTTGAGGTATAATTTCCTACCATTATGGTGCGGAGGTTAGACTCGTAAATTTCTGAGTAAGGGTAAGCCCAGAAAGCAGTGTGAAAGACTGTTTCAAGTTTCAATCTTCAATGCATTTCTCACCTATCTTGCTATTATATGTATAAGTACTTTCATTGGTATATTTGAGTTACAAATGTCGTATTTATATACAATATATTAAAATCAATAATGAATCATCAATCGCTTACCATAATAATCGCTCCTGTTAACAACTTAAGTGTGCATTAGTGGCAGCCATGTTTTATGGAATTCAATAACAATTTTTATTTGGTTCTTATCTTTGCCTGGCAACATAAGTAACGCATCTCAGGTAGTTTGTTTTCGAATAAGTTATCTTATAGGTAATAATATTCTCTCATATTCACTTTTTATAAAAAAATACATAACTGTAAATAGGTACTATATTTGCTTCAAATATTTAACAACATTGAAAAATACATTATTTTATCGTTTGTGGTGTGGACCTGTTGGAGGAGGGTCGCTCTTAGGTCTCGTTTCCACCCATTTTTTAATGTTGGGAAGATTATTGATTTTATTAACAAACGCTGACAAAGCGGGGTATGATTTCAGAGCATCCACTTGGTCAGGTCTTGATGAAAGGGTTGCAGCAAAAACTAAATCAGCCCAAGTTACCTGAAAAAATTAAAAGAAACGATGAGAACCAGTTAACAATAAACTATTAAATTATTTTGAGTTAATTGCAGTCAGCTTACCGCAGATCCAACTAATAAACCTGATGGATTTGAGGATAAAACTTCCTCAAACTTGGCCAAGTAAAACGCTTGTTCCTTCTTAATTTCTGCAATTCTCTCAGGATTTTCTTCTCTAAATAGTCGCATCGAACCTGCAAGAATTTTTTACATATTTTATTTTTTTAGATATTCCAGGTAACTATTTCTGCATAATTTTTTTTAATAGGAAGAAAGTTAATATACTTAAGTTGTAGTCTCCTAAGGCCTCAACTAATGAATCGGCTTGTAATATTTCCCAGTCATCTGATCCCTGTAGCTTGAATTGCTTTGCCAGATATCTAGCGATTGCGTTGGTTTGGGCGACAGGTTTTCCATCAACTTCCAAAACCGGTACTTTTCCATATGGCGTGTCTGAAAAGCATCATCTATTATTTACGGTTTAATTTAACCATTATGATAAACTGTTTTCCTTGCAGGGTGTTTCATAGTAAGGGGAAACCGTTTTTTTAGCATAAAAGGGTTACGCTTGTAAATTTAAATACGTGCTTCCATTAAAAATTAGTAGATATGACAGTATTTCTT